TGTAACCTGAACAGCTATTTCTAAGATGACAATATGTAACTTATCAACTGGTGATTTCTTACTGTTTATTTTTCTGTAATTCTGTATTATTTTTACCCTTTTTTATCTCCCCCCCCAAAAAAGAATTAAAGTCATACTGTAAGGATACCCAAATAGTCATGTCTATGTCAGTTCAACTCATAATAGGCAAGATGCAGAGCCAGCTTAGGTGCCCACCAACAGGTGAATGGTTAAAATAAGTGGTACATATACACAGTGGAGCATTATTCAGCCACGAAAAGGGATGAAATTCTATCGTTTGCCAAAAAACGAAGGGACCTGGAGAGCAACATACTGAATGAAATGAGCCGGATTCAGAAAGACAAATCGTTCGTTCTTCCTAATATATGGAACTTAAAAGATGACACGTAGAAGGGTGACTTATCAGACAAGAGGAAGGAATGGAGGAGGAGAGAGAGTGTAAAGGTCGGTAGCAGAAGGGTGAATATGATCAAAATACATTATGCACATCACAACACCCTCAAAACGTGAAACCATGTCGGGGGAGGAGAGGGCAGGAAGGGTGGTGGGTGGGGATGCATAAAGTACAAGCAGTGTTTAAAATACGTGGTAAATGTTTAGATAAAAATGTGTGATTACAGTAAGCGACGCATTGCCACTAATTCCTCCTGCTTTGTAAGTATCTTTATAAGACGTGACCAAGAAAAGTAGGGGGAGTCCATGAATCTGCATAACAAATACACAGGTGTAAAAAATGTAGAAGTGGTTCCCAAAGAGCCTGGGACAGGGGGAAGAAGGAAGGATTGATTCAGCCTCATGCTCCGCTTTTAAGCAAGGTCTCTGCAGTCCAGTTGGAGCTTCAGTTCTTCCCCTGACCCTTCTCTTTGGCTCTCTCCTTCAAGGCTTTGCGGCCCAGCTCTGCCAGAGAAGCCTTCCCTGGGAGATGCCTCTGCCCTGAGGGACCCACCCTGAGTTCCTCAGGGCCTGCGGCCTCTCCTCATTCCCACCAGTCCAGGAGTGTGTTTACTGGGAGTGTGGGCTACTTGAGGCCAGGCAGGGCACCCGGGCCTGTGCCTGCCTCTCCTGCACTGAGTGCTGGGTTGGACCCTGGTTTCCACTGGGGGAGGAAGAGGATGGGCTGGAGGCCGCCATCTTGCTGGGACATTGTGCTGGTGGATACACTGGCTCCTTCCAGAGGCTCTGGCTGGCGTCTTAAAATAAAATCTAAAAGTTTAACTTCTGTGTAGTAGGCACAACATGTAAGGAATAAATTGCCATAATTATTATTAGCATCTTCTTACTGACAGATTTCTCAGAAGCTGTTTCCATATCACGCAAATCAACCTTTGTGTTGTCATAGAGACAAAGATCTTTATATAACCATGGGCAAGGTGAGATTTTTTTCCTCTCTCCGTTCTTCCAGTTGCCTGAAACTAATAAGAAAAAGAAAGGAAAAATTTTATGTTATTTTCATTTACTTTTTTCCTCAATTAACATAAATGAAAATGTAGGAGGTGATTTCTTGTATTATATTTTAGATGTGAAGTACCTATGTTTTTAATGAGATATGGAAGGGGAGGAAAGATAGGAACAATTTGAACAGTGGCATTTTCAAAATTTGCAAGCAGGGTGCTTGTCAGAGATAAGCAATTATAATCCTTTCCCTTTGTCTCTTTAAAGCAAATAGTGAATTTTAGATGAAGGTCTTAGAAAGCAGACTTATCAAGGCCTGAAAGGACTCAAGCATAAATTAGCATCTATTGAATGGTGCTGATGGATTTTAGGGTGCTCTGGAGTTCTCCCTCCTATCTCCAGTGGGCAAATGAGTGTAAGATCACCAGCACCCCCTATCTGGAAAGCTGGCCTCGTAATTTCCGCTCGTCTTTCTGAGAACTCCTGATAATCTGTTCTTCATAGCATTTTCTATCTTGTAATGATTGTTGACTGTTTAATTATCTCAGCCTCGAGATGGGGAGCATCTGCAGGAGCCCGTGTACTTTTCCTGTGATTGCCTCACTTCTGAGCTATGCCTTTATCCACCCACCTTCTCAGGACACGAAACTGTCCCTACTAGGATTAACTCTTCTCCTGCGTTCTTCGACTGGGGCCTCCTGTCCACCCCTCGGTCCTCTAACAAATAAGACTCCTTCTTCATCCTTGTGTCTTCAGCCTGTCTTTCTTCATGGATTCCTTCAGTCCTCTTTGGGCATTTGTTGGTTGTTTTTGCTTTTCCTTTTTGTTTTTTTGAGGCAGGGTCTCTCTATGTAGCCCAGGCTTCCCTTGAACTCTTAGTGATCCTCCTGCCTCAGCCTCCTCAGTGCTGGGATTACAGGTCTGCACCACTATGACTGGTCCTCTAGTCTTATTTGATGAAAAAAATAAAACAAAAAACCTTCTATTGTTCTTATTTTCTGCCTGTCTCTTAATCTGGGGCATAAGCATTTGGTATGTTGGGAAGTGTGTGGCTTGAGGGGTTTTAAAATATCCTTCTTGCTTTCCAAGAAGCTGGTCCCTCTGTGGGCCTGAGTCCTCCAGTCTTAGAGCTTGCAGAGTCCCTGGGGGAGATACCAGGCTACAGACTGTTGTGTGCAGCTCAGACTCAGGGCCTGAACACCAAGGAACACTCTCCGGAAATGCAGCCACACTTTGAGAAGCACTGCTTGCCGTAACAGCCCTGCTCTTGCTTGTCAAGTGGATGTCAGCGTCACTATGTTGTGACACAGTTACTCTGCTTTGGCCTATGGGGTCCTCCCCTGAAAGATGAGGTCAGCACTCCATTGGCTGGTTCTCAGGGAACGTGACCTGGTAAGGGTTATCTGGGTCCAGGGCTCTGAATATCTAAGAGACCAGGTGAGTGCAGTACTCAATGCTAAGTAGGTGGGGGGAGTGAGGAAGTTGGAGAGTCCCCAGAACCCCTCATGAGCAGCACTCGACCTCAGAGCCTGGGAACCAGCTCAGTTTGGAAAACCAACTTAGCAGGTCTATTATTACTGTGCCCACCTCCTACCTACTGCCACTGCTAGCCACACTGGCAAGTCTTCCCTCACTTTTCTCTTCTCCCTGTCTCTTTCTCTCATACCAAGGGACTTCTACACTGAGCTACATCCCTAGCCCTTTGCACTTTTTTTTTTTTTGAAGCAGGGTCTCACTAAATTGCTAAATTGCCCAGGCTGAACTTGCTGTCTTTCTGCCTCAGCCTCCCAGAGTACAGGAACTGCGTTTCCAGCCTTCTCCAAACTGTTTTATTTTTTCCTTTCAGCTTTCTTTAAGGAAGAAGCCCAGTGAGTATTCCCCAAGGCCAGCCTGAGGGTGCAGCAGGAGTCAGGAGACAGTGCAGGAGCTCAGTGCTGAAGGGGCCGGGGCTGGGGGCCCATCTTCCCCCACCCCCGTGTCTACTGGGCGGAAATTGGGAATAGGTTTGGTTTTCAATTTTTTAATTAAAGAAGAGGTAATTTTTCTTTTTCATAATCAAGCAAATGCAAAAAGAGAATAGGTAAATGCCTATCTTTGCTCCCGCATAGCTGTGTGGTTTTTGGTTTGTTTTGGGTACTGGGGATGTGAACCAAGGCTGTGGTCAGGGAAGTACTCTACCACTGAGTGCCATTGCCAGCCCGGCTGTGGACCTTGAGCAAGTCGCCTCAGCTCCTTGCATCTTGGCTTCTGCCCATCTGCAGAGGTAGCAGGCCAGTGAGAGAGGCTGTTAGTGGCACAGTGATTCCTAAGGGCAGCATGGGAGACTTGTCACAGAAGACAAGTGTTGTGGATCTGCTGATTGATTGAGAGGAATTCTATCAGCATGGCCCTCAGCTTTGGGGAATGGCATTGGCAAAATAATTAATGGAAACTAATTAATATAAACTCCTCAACCCTTAAAAGGCTCCTCTCAGCTACCACTATTCCCAGGCCATTAACTCTTCTCCAGGGGGAGGCCAGCCCCGCAGAAATGATGGATCCTTCCCTGAAGCAGGGTTCCTTGGGGCACCCTAAGGAATTGGGGGCTCTTTCCTTCCCACCTAGAATTTCACTGTCTTCAAGGCCTGGAACATAATGAAGATTTCTGCCAGCTGGAGCTGTGGCTGACCTTGTGGTCTACCCCTACTTTCCCTTTCTAACAGTTTTATTGAGATATAAGCCATGTGATATAAAATACACCCATTTTTTTTTTTTTTTTGTCTTTTTCATTTTTATCGGTACCGGGGATCGAACTCACGACTGCCTGCTTCCAAGGCAGGCACTTATGCCGCTGAGCTAAACCTCCAGCCCCAATACACCCATTTAAAGTGTACAAAATGCCATGTTTTTATGATGCTCACAAGCAATCATTGCCACAATCTAATTTTAGAACATTTTCATCACCCTAAAACTTACCCCAATTAGCAGTCACGCACTGCCCCCACCAACCCTCAGGAACAACTAGGTACTTTTAGTCTTTCTGGCCACTTCATATAGACAATTGATGGGGAACTTTTTTTCTGAATGGAAGACAGGGTCCTCAGTGGTACTTTGGAGCTCAGTGCTGAACCTGGCACCAAGAGCCCGGAGGTGGTGGCACGGCGGAGCCTTTGGTGCATCAGCTCCCCATTCTGAGGTGCAGGTACCCCTGGGATGGAAGCCTGCTGCTTGCTCCCCAGAACAGGTGGGTACCAGCTGCAGGTGGACCTGGGCATCCCTGGTGCCAGAACAGGCCCCCCTGACCCTGGGCCTGGCACTCCCTTCCCGGCGGACCGTGGAGTACACCGACCCTACGGCCAAGGCTCAGGGACTGCTGCTGCTCAATGGGCATCACGAGCGAGCATGTCCCCGACAGCGAGGCAGGGAGCCGGTTCCAGCAGGGAACATGCGCCTCCGCCTCCTCGGGCGGGCGCACTGGAGAGCCCCAGAGCGGCGCAAAGGCAGCCTCGGGCTCTGGGGTCACCCTGATAGCTGGGGAGCCTGTGCGTAGCTCCCCAGCTCCAGTAGGACCAGGCGCGGAGGGGAACCCCGCAGGGCTGGGTACTCACAGTCGGGCGAGACCGGCGAGGGGCCCGGGGCAGCGCAGGGCGCCGCGGGCAGGGCAGCTGCAGGGCTCCGGACAGCGCGTCCCGGGCAGCGCCGCGGGCAGCAGTAACAGGAGCAGGGGCAGCGCTGGCCACCGCCGTCCCATGGCCCGTGAGCCACACTGCGGCTCCCCAGCACCCGGGCCAGTGTCCCATGGCCAGGGCCGGCCCCTCCTGTCCCGCGCCGGCCCGCCCTCCCTTCCTACAGCACCCCAGCCCCTGCTCTGCTCCACCTGGACCGCTGCCAGCTGCCCGTCACCCCCCTGAAGCTTCACCCTGACCCGGCCTGTCCTCTGCATCTGCAGACTCCCTGGTGCTGGGCGGGGAGGGCAGTGTGCAAGGAGCGACTTGATGAGCCCTGTGGATCCTGAGTCCTCCTGTTCTGCTGTCTCCAGGGCTGAGAAGCCAGGGGACAGTGGGGTGTCCTTTTTCACCATGAAGGGCAGAGTGGATCCCTGGCCACCCCATCATGGGGGCGAAAGTGCCAGAGCACAGGTGTCTTCTCTTCATCCACAGGCCCAGGCTCTTCCCCACGCTCCCTCTCCAGGTCGCCCCACAGGCCAGTGGTCACTTTGCTCCCCTCTCCCCTGTTAACAATTGCTCTCCTTCTGTGGTGCAGCTACCTGGGTTTCTCCTTCGAGGTCCTGGCGAGCAAAATCCAGTTGGGATTAATCCTTGTATTCCTCCTGGCCTCTCCACGAAGGTCCTCAACAAAGATGTGCTGGGTGAACAACTGGAGTGGTTTTGTGATGCGCACCAGCTGGCCCAGCAGAAGGCCCAAATCCTGTCCCAACTTCCTATCAAACCAGCAGGGCAACTGCAGCTAGAGGATGATGCCCCCAGAGACATGTGACTTCCCCTAAGCCACACAGCTGGTGACTAGAGCAGCCCCGTGTGAACCTGCCTGTCCCCCATTTCCCTCCCCGTTGCAGTTGTGGCTCTGTGACCTCTGTGCCAAGGGACTTGGAAAGGAGCCCGGGTTTTATGGGAACCATGGGGGTGCATCACTCCCCTCTAATCTCAGGATTAGACATGTGTTCCTTGTAACTCCTGTGGGTTTTGGAAATCCTAGTCTTGGAGAGAGGTGGGCTTAAGAGCAGCTTGGAAAGCGCAGCACAGATTTCTTCTGGAGCTGATTCTCAAGTAGACTTCTTCATGCACCAGTCTGCAGTCTCTTGCTCGGGGATGTTAGATTATTATTTAAAGAATTCATTTGCCTACATCGTGCCACATGGCACCAAACTGATGCTTCTGTCTGGAATCCGGTCTTCCCTGACTTCCTCCCCCTTCACACTCTTATGCCTGTCTTCAAACGATTTCTCTTTCATTCCCCTTATTCCACAAGGTAAACTCTTGCTTGTCCTTTACACTCAGCCCAATGTCATCGTCCTTGTGAGCCTTCTCTGGCTCAACACAACTTAGTCCTTGTGGCCCTAGCACCTGATTCTATAGCCTGGAGTGTAACAAACTGTAATTAAGGTAGGCCTTTGCTTTCCCTGCGCTGTGAGGGAATAGCATAACTATTGGTTCTTACAGGTGCTCCATATATGTCTGTTAACCACAGACTGAATCAGTGAAACCCAGGTCTGTGGCGGGTGCTTGGTAAGTACTGAATATGAGAAGAGCTTACAAGCATTGCTTGCTTATTCTGAGACATACTGGATTGATCTGCCTAGGTATCAAATAATTATCCATGATTGCTTTGGGGTCCTGTTATCTCTCCTGTCCACTAGGAGGACAGGGCAGTTAGGAGACATGGGTTTTCTCCCTGGTTCTGTCCTCAGGCAAGTGACTTGGTCTTTGGTTTCTTTATCTGTATGAGGAAGGGTTGGCATTTGCAACCCCCATAGCTCTTCTGTTTCTAAAATGTGTGAAGGGGAAGGAATTGGGATATGGCTACTAACTTTTCATAGTTTGTCTTGGATAGGAAATAAAATGCTGCATATGAAGAGGTGAGTTTGTGTGGAGAAAAGCTCACAACTTTAATGAGTATAAAATTTTGATTAATTTCAGTTGGATCTTAATTATCACCAGTCGATTATTGCGTGTCCACGTTATAAGAAAATCAGATTGACTTGTTTGCTATAATGACAAAAAATTGTTACAGTGGAATTTATATTTCTTACCCATTAATATATGACCTACTTGGAATGTTTTTAAATCTGAAGAATTTTTGTCTTCTGTAACTATGTGTATCACTCACCACGTCTGTTACCAAACTTCAAAACAGCGTGGCCCATAGGATTGCTAATTACATTTTACTAACAAAATAAAGTTCATGAAACACAGAAGAAGTTTATCCCACCTTGGAGAAATAAAAATACCTGACAATACAACTAGAAATATAAATAAAACTCTTTGGGTTTAAAAGAGTTTTTCATATTTTTGAGTACAAAAGTTTCATTTGTAAAGCTTAAACAAAGCAAAGATTCCTGAGATTTCCTTGAAGAGATTCCAACTTGTAGATATGGGCCTTGGAACCCTAGTTCTTACAAGCTCCTCCCTACCATTTGGACTCACAGGGTTCCTAGAGCATAATTTGAGAAAGACTGAGATGGGAATTCTAGAATTGAATTTGCCTTTGAGAAGTTAGCAGTCATTAGTAAGAGCTTTGAATGAAGCCTGATGATGCTGATGCATTGTTAAAGAAACCTGGCATGGGGAAGGGCATCCATCCCGATAGTAGTGTGTGTTTAAATATTTAAAATGACTCAATTTCTTGTGTCTTTGACACTTTTGCTTTTGAGTAACAACTAGTTTATTTATTCTAATTTTATTTATTTACTTTTGGAATGAGCAGTATCCCAAGCTCATAGAATCTATTTTCTTTATGGCTCACTGGGTCAAATCAATAGTACTTAATATCACACTGACATTAGAGTTGGAGGAAGTTAGCAAAGTAATAATGATATAAAATTATCTTTTAGTAGAATAGGCAAGCTCTTCTGATTCTTTTTTTAAATTTTAAAGTGAAAGAAGAACAAAAATGATGATACAGAATTTCAAAACAATATAATAAGAGATTACCAATGGTTAATATATTGCATATTGTTATTTCAAAGTACCTGCTCAGCTTCCAGGGTGCAGGCATGAAAAATGATCAATGACAGCACTAACCCTCTTCTGATTCCTGAGCACACACTGTTAATACTAGGACTGGTATTTTTTCCCTCATAAAGCAGTGGTTTTACTTTCCCCTTGGAATAAAAGGTGAATGTAGGGCAGAAGAAGAAAAAATATGTGAGAAAAGAAAAATAGAGTTACACGTTTGAACTGCTCACCTTGCTGCATGCGACAAAAGCCGAAGCAAACAGAAGAAAAAAGATGATCCCGCATGTCGTGTTCTGAGATTCCATGTGACCTTTCTGTTGCTGGCTTGGAAATTTCATCTCTTTATCTGTCTGCATAGTGTGAAACCAGGGATGTGACCAGTCCTGTCACCTCCAGGGCCATCGTGGGGTTCTTGTAGGCAGGAGAAAACCTCGAAGCTGCAGGCTCATGGGTGCCTGGTCCTGGACTCTGATGGGCTGGGGGTTGGAATGGAATGACCAGCCTGGGACACTGGGGACTTCTCTGAGAGTAGACGGAGAGATGGGGAGAGAGGGAGGAGAAGAGGGAGAGACAGAGGAGCAGGGGGAGAGGCTGCACAGGTGGCCTGGCCTTTTCAGTCATGTTGCAGAAAGATGTCAATGATTTGGGGCAGCTGCCTCTCTCCCCTTATGCAAAGAACCTGTCCTTGCTGGGTGGTAGTGATTAACACTCCGGAGAGAACAACAGAGATGAGGAACTGATGGGGACAAGATGAACCCTGATGGAGTCCTGTGGCTACATGGAGATGGTCGGATCTGAGGTGGGCTCCACACCTGACTTCCAACGATAAGCTTAACGTAGCTGGAGTTGAATCTCTGTCACCACAGCCACGTCCCTTATTTTCACTGTCGGGCTTCCTGGGGATTTTAGTCAACAGGCCCACCTCCCCCAGTTCTTACCAGGTGAGAGGGAAATGGGACTTTTTTACTCTTGTCTCTGTCACATCCGCAGCAAGTTTCCCCCCTTCCGTCTGCAGAGTTTCTCAGGATGCTTCCCGGAGCAAGCAGTCTGGGGAGCAAGCAGTCTGCGTGAGTGCATGCCGGGCTGCAGTGCGCAGGCAGGCAGCTCTGGAAGCGCGTTATTCTCTTTCCCTGGGCACATGCATTTTGCTAAATGAGTCACCAAACATTCTTTTCATGGGAGGATGGTCTCCTGTTAAACTCTGACTTTAGTTTAGAAATTAAACTTCAAGATAAAGTATTAGATAGACCCAATACAGGAAAAGAGAAAACTTTCTGAAATGATTATAGAAGTCAATGGAAAAATATTTCATTTTTAAAAACCTGATACACAATTAATCAAAGTGTGTGATGAATATATATTAGTTCCTTACCAGGTTAACTGGCAATATTTAGGGAAAAATTGTCGAAGTCCATGAAATATGGGGGAAAATTTAGTTTAAAAAGTTAAATAATGTGCTTTATTAGAGAGTTTCTCAGAACTTGTAGCATGCATTCTGGATCTCTAAGAAGGTCGTAGTATGTGAAAGAGGCTAGGATTTTTGAGATACTACTGTGAAAACATTGAATATGCTTTGTGAATACACTTGGTGATACATTTTGAGAAAATGGATTTAATCACTCACATTTAGGCAACTTGTTTTTATGGCAAGGACCTCCACCACACACACATGTGATATACACTGACACAAACTGACGCACATATACACGCTGATACACACTGACACACACATACACTGACATATACACACTGACACACTCATGCACACATTCACTGATACACCAATGCACACACGCGCGTGCACGCACGCACACACACACATACACACACACGGGCTTACAGCTGGCGCTGCCCTTAGCACCTGAGCAGCAGCCCCACCACAAGCCCCTCTCTGTCTCCCTCCATCCCTCGAGGTCCAGAGACTCGGGTGTCATCAGTGTATTCTGTTAGGCTAAGCATTACCCTTTTGAGGCCACATTTGAAAATGAGATACACAGCACTGGGTGGGAGCACTGTGAGCAAATCATACCTTCATCAGAATTATATATTTGTCAGATTCCTTTAGGGGCCAATACTTAGGACTGAACCCAAGGCTTTTCCACAGAACTATATCGCCAGCACTTTTTAAATTATTATTTTGAGATAATGTCTCACTAAGTTGACAAATTGCCCAG